TGGTGCATGTAGTTGAAACGATGAAAGGAGGGTAGGTAGGTGAAGAAGACAACTTCGTTTATATTTCTCTGTTTGATGGCGATTAGTGCTTGTTGTCGTTATTGCTTGGTATCTTCATCACCTGTGTCTTCTCTACGTTCATCTGGAGGAAGTGTCATCTTCGCTGCCCTGCCTGTTTTGCCAACTTGTTAGTTTTTGCCTATAGATCTTCGAATTTGTGCGACATAAGATATTAGACATGAATCATCATCATTGGGGTCTTTTTCTCGGTCAAACAGGGTATACCCATCTTGTTACAGCTCCTCACAGTTGTTTGTTTCGTGATCCAGTGGATTCGAGTAGACCGCAATGAGGAAGATAATCGGTGGTAGTAGGCGGCAACCTTGTCTTACTCCTGTCTTCAAGTCTAACTGTAAGAATATTTAACCAGACACCCTTCACTCACCGAGTCTTTGTTTATCGGATCAATATCAGATAAATACAATCGAAATGATTCTGCACTTGTCCCAGATATATGGAAAATTATGAATATATGAACTCTGTTTCGAAGTTGTGGAGTCACCTGATATGAATATGGACAATAAATTGTGTCCGAAACGTTATCCGGTAAATGATACTATTCCTTCACTGTGAGGCGCTTCTGATAAACAGATTAAAATGGAATTACAATCGACCAGAGTTGTACTCCTATATCCTCAAAAACGACCGTCAGAATCCTTGGAGTAGACATAATTCGCCGCCAAGCTTCGAATTATTTTCTACTGCAAGAAATGTTTCGGTCAATATGTGAAAGACAAGCCGATGCACTGGGCCATATCAATCTGTGTGTACCAGCTTACTTGCTCCTATGGAGCTGCGCACATTACACAAACCATGCAGGCACTTATAAAATGAGTTCGTGAAAACTCACCCAGCCTGACTAACAAAGGAAGAACTCAGAGCACTTACCTCCTTTTAAGAATTCATTCAAAATTCTCTACAAACTTTGATCAAACCACTGGAAGGGAGTAGGATCAAGGCATTTGGATATAGCCAGAGCTGTTGTGTGATTCCATAAAAGATACGTTGAATCTTTGTATTTGCCGCCGTCATCAACAGGCTTTGATTGTCATAGATTTATCCTATATTATGTGATTACACCCTGATTTTCATAATCTTTCATTTTATTTTCCTACTCTAAATCCTAATTTGTATTAATTAACTTCCTTTCCTTATTCAATGAGTTCTGATGCCTGATCGGAAATAATTCTAAAATATTCTACTGATTGTAAGATGTACAGTTTAGTATTGAATGACTTCTTGGAGAAGAAAAATGGTTCTTTACTGGAGAGGTTTCATTTTTCTTTTTCCATCATAGTTTGGTGTTAATAAATTACAAAGGATGTTTGAAGCTGAAAGATAATGTTGTTGACCATTATCGTTTTATTTATTTTGAGAAACTATTTCAGTTTCAAATGTCTTCTGATTTTTAATTTATCCCCGACTTACTTAATAGCTGATGTCAACCTACGTCCCAAAATGATAGTATTTAGCTCCCCTCTGTATGCTAGAGTGATATGGACATTTTTCTTAGGAACCGTGTATAGAGTTGGCTTTGGTGCTACTTGACGTCTAGAACGGTTTATAAATTTCATCGGATATCCATTTTCCATAAGTGCTTTGTTCAGTAATTTGATGTCTTCATCCATCGCATCAGGTGTACTGATACGATAGATCCTATTAAACAGACATTTTACTAGACCTCGCTTATATTGGACTGGATAAAAACTGTGGAAATTCAGGTATTGTCCTGTCCATGTAGACTTTCTGTAAACTGACCGCCTTATTGAACAATCTTCTCGTCGACTGAGGAGTATATCTAGGAACAGCTGTTGATTATTATTCTCTTTCTCACAAGTCAGGCTGATGTGTGTTTGTACGGCGTTAAGTCTATTTTGTAGACAAGCCATATCCTCATGCCTCTCACAAATCACTATGATCTCATCAACATATCTCTTGTAAAGAGGAACTTTAGCGATGAAATCACTGGCCAGATTTTTGATATATGACATATAAATATCAGCTAGTAGTGGTCCTAATGGACTACCCATAGCTACACCGTCAACTTGTCGAAAGCGTTCACCTTCAAATATGAATTGGACTTTGTCAGTACACAGTGATAGTAACTCCTTCCACAGTTTTTGTCCAATACAATACAAGCGAGGTCTAGTAAAATACCTGTTTAGTAGGATCTATCGTATCAGTACACCAGATGCGATGGATGAAGACATCAAATTACTGAACAAAGCACTTATGGAAAATGGATATCCGATGAAGTTTATAAACCATTCTAGACGTCAAGTAGCACCAAAGCCAACTCTATACATGGTTCTTAAGATTATATATATATATACTTGTCGCTTGGGTTCCTAATGGAACATAGGGCTTCAGTAGCACGTCTCCAGCGCACTCTGTTCTCTTCAACCCTTTAAATCTGCCTCCACGACAGCCCACCAGCTCTCATTCCCTCCTCACACGATCTCCTCCATGTCACCATCACCTAGGACGCCCAACTCGTCGTTTCCCATCTGGATTCCACTCGAGGGCCTGGCCTGGCTCTTGATATCCTCAGTCGGCCTTCTCGGTGTATGCCCAATCCATCTCCACTTCCTTCCAGCGCATATTTGTTGGGTGATAGGTTCTTGGTTGGTTCGTTGCCAGAGTTCCTTGCTGCTTATTCTTTCTGGCAATCCATCTGATCTTTAGTAGCGAGCGTAAGCAGTTGTTGATGAATGTCTGTAGTTTGTTGGAAATGCCTTTCGTAACGCGCTAAGTCTGTGAGCCATACAGAAGTACTGACTTGACGTTGGTGTTGAAAATCCGGATCTTGTTCCACATGCTGAGTGCAGAAGATCTCCACACTGGTTTCAGGTTAATGAACGCCTGTATTGCTGTCTTTCCGACCGTGGCTTAGATGTCTTCGTCTGAGACGCCTGTAGTTGAAACAGTGTTTCCTAGATAAGTGAAAGAGGTTACTTCCTTTAAGTTTCTCCCGTTGATGGTGATTGGTGCTTGTTGTTGCTGTTGTTGTTGATTGGGTACGGTTTCTACGAAATATGTCCATATCACTATACCATACAGAGGGGAGCTGAATATTATCATTTTGAGATGTAGGCTAACATCAGCCATTCAGAAAACGTATTACGCGGCGAATCTTGTCATTGTGGAGAAAACAAAACACTTGCTCCACCAAAAACCTAAACACTACATCAGTGATTACGTCACATCCCATTGTGTTTACCAATTTACATGTGTGTATGGTCACATATACATAAAGAGGAGTAATCGAGTCATGCAGTTGAGGGTAGGAGAATATGTGCCTAAATGGCTTCAAAAACAAATGGAGTGTGAAACAGTGATAAACGCTGGTGGGAGAAGACCCTCTTCATCTATAGTTATCCGGTCTAATAAATTTTATTTCATTTTAGTCATCAAGGGTTTTTCTCGACTACTAAATGAATTCATGACATATTACTATCGCTTTATCTTACACTGGCTGCTCAGTGAGTGATTCTCATCTGAATCAAAATCTACTTGAATTTAAGGAAATCGGGAGCATTATATCATATCGATTATCCGTTTGACTATGTGAGATAGCTGTGATTTGTCAAACTAGTATTGTTACTGGGCCATCATTTGATTCTTGTTTTGGCTCAGATTTTCATTTCATCTTTAACCATCACCAAGTTTAAGTATTAATTAGCTGCGTTACTAACCAAGTACGAGTTTGTGTAGTTGGGTGTTCAGCATATCTGTAGTTCAAGAAATGGAACTTTTCTGCTAAAAAATTGCAGTAGGTGGGAAGTTGAATGAGACTTTAAGAAAATACTGTAACAAGGAAGTTTAAAAACTGCAAGAGAATCCCTAGAAACTTGTTACTCCAATCAAAGGAAACTACAGTTGGTTATTCTCTTAGTTATTTCCATCATTTAGTTTCCGTTAGGGATTTTTACTCTTTATCTCGATTTCGACTTAGCTTTATCATACGTCCTCTATTTGTCTGACTCTATAAGGATTGATCTCTCTCTCTCATTTGTCATCAGTACACAGATGACATAATCCTGTTAGATGAGGTTGTTGGCGGGGACTAAAGATTGTTGGATCCCATGAAATATTTCAACGTACGCTCCTTACCTCACACTGGTATTCGTAGGAATAGTCAGTGTTGAGATCCTGTTTAACAGTATAAGTTGGTCACTTCACCTAGTCAAAGGTTGATAGCAATCGTCATCAGCTAGTTGGCAAAAGAAATTCTCATCAAAAAGCATTATAACCACAGTAGTTGACTGTAAGACTCTGATTGGTATTCTTCAAAGCCAATCATTATGGCTCAGTTGACTCTACTTTGTTGATCGCTGCTAATATTTTTATTATTGTTTCGATTTCATCCCTTCACCATTGTTTACTACTGTCATAGAGTATAGGGACTTGGATCATTATTGATTAATACTAAATTAATGACCTATTTTACGTACCTAGCGTTTGATATACTATTGATAGGTTTACGTGGCTATGTAGTTAATATCATTAGCCCTCGTGCATAAAATGGGTGTAGTTCATTGCCTACCGCATAAATGTGCACAATGTTGTTTGTGACTGGATTTTTTGATTACCCGCGTAAAGAATTAAATCATATTCACTTGATTATTATAATTCCGACCCAATGGCTCAATGGTAACTTTCTGGCCATGAAATCTCAAGGTCCTGAGTTCGATCCCTGGAGGGTTGGATTCATGGGTACCCACTGCTGACGAGTCTCATACTAGTGGGATGAAACAGCTATCCAATGCTCCCAGGTTTGCAATGTTCCTCCAACTGATGTCAGTTTATGATAAAAACCAACCTAAAATCAATTATTAAGTCTCCACAAACCTCCAGGTAGAATTAGTATTTTAGAACTCTTAGATTTATAATCGATATATATATACTCTTTTTATTGTTGTTATTGTTTTATTTTACAGAAAGCATATGGATCAATTGAAAATGTTCTTAGAAAATGAAACATGGGAAATCTGTCCTGTGAAACATTCCTTCACTGTAATGGATCTTCAGGTGTGAAAGTTGTGTCAAAGTGGAACCCTTTATTTTTTGTACTATTTATTCATTGACTAGTATATTAGGAGTTTATTAACTTGAGAAGATTGAAGAATTTATATCTTTCAAGCAAAAAGAAAATCAAACACTGATTGCAGGTGAAGTAAAGGTCTTAGTCGTGACAGGATTCAGACCAATGATTTCCAGGTTTGTAGACAGATGCCCTCTTTCACCTATCTACCTAGACAGCATCGTTCCAACTACATGCGCCACAGGCACAGATGAGGATGTCAAAATCAGGATCAAAAAGACAGGAAGACAGGCCTCCATCAATCTGAAATAATCAGTGTGGAGATCTACTGCACTGCACTGCAATCAGCATAAAGAGTGAACAACATCCGGATTTTCAACACTAAATCAGTCAAGTAATTCAGTGCTTCTATGTGATGGTTGAGAGACTTGGCGCATTATGAAAAGTATTTCCAACAAACTGCAGACATACATGAACAGGTGTCGCCTACGCTCACTCGATACTGAAGATCGATCAGATGGCCAGAAAGAATAAGCAATAAGAAACTCACTCTGGCAATAAACCGACCAAGAAGCTATCATCCAACAAATATACAGAATAAGAAAGTGGAGATCAGTTGGATTGGGCATATACTGAGAAGAGGGTTTGGGGACATCACACATGAAACCGGGTCATCGAGTGGACGTCAAATGGGAGACAGCGAGTTGGCCATCGGAGTTGGGGGTGGTGACATGGAGGAGATGGTGTGAGGAATAAATGATAGATTTTAAGCAGTTGTGCAGCGAGTTTCAAAGGGCTGCAGAGAAGAGAGATAAATGGCGATGGCGATGGAGACGTTGTAGTGAAGCCCTATGTTCCACTTGGCACCCAAGGGACAAATAAATAAAAAATAATAGACCGATGGCCTACCAACTGTGTCCCCAGTCGGCCTTCTCAGTGGATGCTCAATCCAATTCATCTCCACTTTCTTATTCTGCATATTTGTTGGGTGATAGGTTCTTGGTTGGTTCGTCGCCAGCCAGCCAGAGTTCCTTGTTGCCTATTCCCTCTGCCCATCTGATCTCATATTCAGTATCGAGTGAGCGTAGACAGCAGCTGTTGATGAATGTCAGTAGTTTGTAGAAAGTGCTTATCATGACATACCAAGTTTCTGAACCATCACATAGTAGCACTGAGTTGAGTGGATTGATGTTGAAAATCGGGATGTTGTTCACGCTTTGTGCTGAGTTCAGTAGATCTCCACACTGATTTCAGATTGATGAAAGCCTGTCTTGCTTTTCCAGTCGTGTTTTTGATATCCTCGTCTATGCCGCCGCCGCCGCCTGTAGTTGAAACGATGCTGTCGACGGAGGTAGATGAAAGAGACTACTTCCTTTAGGTTTCTCCCTTTGATGGTGATTGGTGCTTGTTGTTGATGCTGTTATTCATTGGGTATCTTCATCACTTCCGTCTTCTCTACGTTCACTTGAAATCCTGTTTGCGCGGCCCTGCCTCTTCTGTCAACTTGTTAGTTTCCACCTGTCGATCTTCGAGTTTGTGCTACAAGACATTAGAAATAAATCATCTGCGAAACCTAGATCTTTGACGCTCTTTTCCTCGGTCAAACAGCGTATCGCCATCTTCTCACTCCTCACAGTTGTGTGCTACATGATCCAGTCGGTCACAATCAGGAAGATCGTGGGTGATAGTAGGCAGCCTTGTCTACGGTAATGTAGAGCTCTTATTTTTAGTAATACCTGGATAAATTCTTATGTACTCGCTTCTGGCCTTGCCTGAGGACCGACACACAGAGAGCTTTGACTCAAGAGGATACTGGTCATTTGATAAAATAACTCGTGTCAGATATTTCTCCAACACTGTTTTAACCAGAAGGCTAAGGGATAGACCTCTAGTTTAACTGACAATCTTCAAAATTCTACTCAGTACAGCATAAAGGAGAACAAGAGAGAAGAAGATGTAAGTTTATAAAACATAAGAGAAGAGGCTGAGTTATACCAGATTCTCTCGGTTTCCTGATATAATGAATTAGTAAGATATGAGAAGACCAGGATAGATCGGAAGAAAAACAAACCGAAAGAGGTTACACTTTTTAATAGGAACCATGAAGTAGGTTACGTTCACGTGTGAAACTAAATTGATAGTCTGATATTTTAATGAATTAAGCACAAGACGATTCATAGGAGACCGTCATCCAGTGGCAGATAGAAAATCATTTAGTTGCGAACAATCTATTGAAGAGAAGATAGGTATGGAAACTGTCAGGTCATCAGCATATTTGATAAAATTGATATTAGCTGGAGATGGTATGTTATGCAAAAAGAAATAGAAAAGAGAGGTGGAAAGGACAGCTGCTTAGAGAACATCAGTCACAGTAAGCAATGAGGTGGAGTACTTCCTTCTGTGAACAGTATGTTTTTTCCTTTCAGAGAAATAGGAATGCTGTCAGCTGATTATTCAAGACTCCATATTTGTCCCGGTTAGCTTGTCCAGTAAAAGAGATCAGTGGATAGAATCAAATACTGAAGTATAGTCTAAAAAGACACACCTGATATACTTGGCATTTCTAAGTAATATTGCAGTATAAAACAGGGTTGGCATCGAAGATACATCTTTTTTTGAGTTAAAATAATACAACATCATGAGGAAGAAAGAAATAGGTTTAAGTAATTGACTCAACTCATGTTGTATTTGCTGTTGTTTTGGCAAAACTTGTAGAAACAAAAGACGGGAGTTGAGAGAAGAATACTTGGATATCTGTCTGTTTAAGCGGATAAAACTGAAGCCCTTTATTTACTGCCTAATAACGTTTATATGATCTTTAATTGCCTATTTACTATCTAAAGGTCAGATTCCTAATCATCAAATCTTCCTCCATGAATGAGTATTTACTTCATCAGTCATTGTAGAGTTGAAGTTTATGCATGTGTCACATAGTTCACATTCAATCATTTGATATCCATTCATTTCGATCTAAGGATTGTTATAAGTTGACCACAGGGAATTGATATATCCAATTCGTCTAATTAATCTAGTACAAATGTGTAAAACCTAAGTCTGAATGGCATTTTTCCCATGAAATCAAGTTTTGTGAACTTATGATATCATCAGTGAGCTAATACTGATCTGTACATTCAACTTCCCCTCCATTTAACTCAGTCTAAATCCTTGCAAAATTGTTTATTTTTTATATTTCTTGGATGGGTATCCGTGTGTGTGTGTGACTGTAACGTTACATTGACCGTTGTAAATTTTATTCTTTTTCCCTTCCTCCTATCTTGAAGATGTTTCATCAGCCTAATCGTTTGAATTTCATACAATAGGCCCTTGGTTCCACCCCAGGATAGTATCATAAAGCGTTACACAATTAGCATTACCTATAATCTAGTAGACAAATAAATATATTGTATTGTGTTATATTGTTTTATTATTACTACCTTAACTTACTTAAAATTTAAACTGTGTGATGATTGAAGGTGAAATGAAAATTTGCACCGAGGCTGGACTCGAACCAAATGACTACCGGGTTTCCGACCAGATGCTCTACCAACTGAGCTACGAGGTTAGGCTGCTGATCAGATTTTTATTTTACCTCAATCACCAAGGATTTTGTAACAGTCGGATCTCGTACCTCAGTTGGAAGAGCATTGAATCAGAAATCCACTGGTCCTTGGTTCGAATCCGGACGCAACTCAAATTTTCATTTCACCTTCAATCATCACCCAGTATCAATAATATTAACCTGTCAAACCACTGCTGCTATCTCAGACAGTCAAATGATAATTACTTTGTTTTATCTATTCGTTTTGTAGGAGTTTAGAGCAGTGAAAGATTTGTTTGAACAAAACACCGTTAACAATAGTAATAATAATAATAATGCTGGTGAAAATTATAAATTTCATCAAGACAATAATTCAACAGGCGTGTAAGTGATTTTTTTTTGTTTATCACTTTTATCTTTCTTTCCTAATTATGATTATTTGTTAATTAGTGGAGAAGTTACCTGCCTACACACCTTAGATCAACAGGTTAAAAACCCCACTAACTCATGCCAAATTTTCACATGGTCACTGTTGACCTTCTTCTAATCCACTTTTACCTTAGCTAACATTACAGGTCGATGTAGGCAGGCGGTGACTCAGTATTCTTGAAATTAGTGTTGATGAGAAACAATGTCTTATCACAAGAAATTTTAAGAGATGATGATTATTATCGGCTTTTTGGAATAGGATACCATAGATACCTTTAAGATGCCGTTCAGATTGACTCAGTTTCCCGAACTGAACGTTGAATTTCTCTCCTACTATGACTATCTCTGAATGTTTCGGTTCATATAGGAAGGTTGATGGGTTTTGGTAAAACTCGTGCTTTGTGTCATTGGACATGTAAAGTAAGACTTTGATTATGCTTCGATGAGTTTTATCGTCCTTTCCAGTTTTATAAATCCATTCAGTGGGACACAGTGTACAGACATCTTTTATGTGATATGCAGTCGGGGAGTACACATTCCGCTCAAGAAATTAGTTCTGTATCAACATCAATGAGCTCATGGGAGCTAGCCTCTAAATCTCTGAACTATTCGGGATTATTTCATCTGATCATCATCATCATCAAGATCAACATAAGACCAGGCATTATTACACAACGGTCCAACACATGAAGTAACAAGCAAATAAAATGGAAGATGAACAGTGAAAGAAAAATCGATCAACAGAAGCGGAAGTAGAAAGTAGTTAAGAAGATGAAGGAACAACGAGATGAGGAGATTAGGTATAGCGGTTAATGTGGGGATAATGTGTGTATACATCTGAGCCACTGAAATTGGTTCTCAGCCATATCACCTAGAATCAGTCTCCAGACACTGGTTTCTCTTGTCCCGCGGACCCCAATCAGCCAGTCTGCATCGCCCTACATAGCTGAAACCAACAATCAAGCCGTTTCGGGCTTTTTTCCAGCCTGTAATTACTCTGGCCAATATTGTGCTATGAGATAGATGGTGGTTAAGCTCACGTAACACATGTCCCAGCCATCTCAGCCGATGAAGGTTCAAAACCACATCAACTGATTTATCTCTCCTACCTAAAACTCTACATCTGACTTCTACGTTACTCATATGGTGACCCCACGAAACAGGATCTATGGTACGAAGGCAACGGTGATCAAACACCTGAAGCCTTCTCATGTCTTCTACCTTTAATGGTCACGTTTTACAGCTATGTTGTAGAACAGAGAGAACTGCAGCACAGCAAGCTGAACCCTTAATAGACAATCGGATATCACAGTAGCCGCACCACAGGTGTTGTAAGTTGTCAAAAGCAAGCCAAGTTTTTTGTGTCTGTGTAGAGATTTCTTCGACCATTAAGCCACCAGGGTTGATTCGACTTCCCAGGTAAGTGAATCGGTTGATACACTCAACCAGTACACTCTCTGTTGTTGGCTGGGGCATCGTTGAATATCAGTCCTGGAGCAACAATTCTTATTTGGATGGCGAGAAAAGCATCCTAAACATTCTCAAATCACAATTCAAAGTGTTCAGAAGACACTGCATCTTGTTAGCGTCTTCGCCTAACAGGACTTATGTAATCTGCGTATTCTATGTCTACGGAAAATTCTCTTGTAATTAAGATAATCAATGTGTAGTCGGATGTCGAGAGGGACACTGCAATATGTACATATCTATGATAAAATTGAATAGGAATGCAGAGAGTGGGCATTTATGATGGATACCACTTGATGTACACAGTTCACCTGATATCATCTGATGTTTAACTTGAAGAAATTTTTTGACTGAATTTAAAACATCCTGGAAGTTGCTTATCTATTACCAATTGTATCTCAATATTCTCATTTTTTTCTGTAAACTTTATAACTATTGTCTTAAATTTTCTGAGTCTGTTACAAGTAACTCGATAATTAATGAACACAGATAGTTCAACACATAGATAGGGGGTATTCTGTAGAAAAATCATTACATGAATGATCTTCATTATAAATCTCTTCATTTAAAAATCTTTTTCAAAATTTACAATCATTAGGTGAAAAGAACAGTACATATTCAAGTGAACAGCTGTTGGAGTTATAAAAGTGTGTATACAAAAGCTTAGCGAATAGCCTACTCATTGTGTCATATATATATACTCAGATAGGCGTATACATTTCTGTGAAAAACTGTCATTTAATGTACTGCGTTATTTATACTTCCAGTAATTTAGATTCTTATTGTTAAGTTAACCTGACAGAAGAAGCAGCGAAGACAGGATTTCAAGTGAACGTAGAGAAGACGGAAGTGATGAAGATACCCAATGAATAACAGCATCAACAACAAGCACCAATCACCATCAAAGGGAGAAACCTAAAGGAAGTAGTCTCGTCCACCTACCTCCCCCGGCAGCATCGTTTCAACTACAGACGCCACAGGCACAGATGAGGATATCAAAACCACGATTGAAAAAGCAAGACAGGCTTTCATTAGTCTGAAATCAGTGTAGAGATCTACTGAACTCAGCACAAAACGTGAACAACATCCCGATTTTCAACATCAATCCACTCAACTCAGTGCTACTATGTGATGGTTCAGAAACTTGGTATGTCATGATAAGCACTTTCTACAAACTACTGACATTCATCAACAGCTGCTGTCTATGCTCACTCGATACTGAATATGAGATCAGATGGGCAGAGGGAATAGGCAACAAGGAACTCTGGCTGGCTGGCTGGCTGGCTGGCGACGAACCAACCAAGAACCTATCACCCAACAAATATGCAGAATAAGAAAGTGGAGATGAATTGGATTGAGCATCCAGTGAGAAGGCCGACTGGGGACATCACGGTGAGGCCTGGCCCTCTAGTGGGAGCCAAATGGGAAACGACGAGTTGGGCGTCGGAGTCAGGGGTGACATGGAGGAGATTGTGTGAAGAAAAAAAGAATCAAAGCTTGTGGGCAGTCGTAGAGTGAGGTTGAAAGAGAAGAATGCAGAGAAGAGAGTGGAATGGAGGCAGGCTACTGAAGCTGTATGTTCCACTAGGTACCCAAGGTGAAAAAATAAAATAAAGTTGTTAGCCTAACCACTTTCATTATTAAGTTCACCAATAGAAAAATAATGAAAATTACAAATCATTCTAATCTTAACTATCCATTATGATAAAACTGAAAACGAATCCCACACGACCTTCCTGTTGATTTGTTTTGTAACGTATGTAAAGACTTTAACAGAAGTCTACAAATTCTCTCCGTCATCACTGTTCACTTTTTTTTAAAGATGATGAGACAACAAAGCTGGTATTACTAGCCTAGTTTGTGTATTTAAGGTTTGTCAACAATGATTTTTCCTCAATTTCTGCAGTCAGTCAATCATGTGCATCAACTTTTTTTGTTGTTGCCTGATTGACTGTAATTTGTTAACGATAGACACCATCCCCGCTTCATCTCATATTCTCTGTTTCCCGAATAACACGTAATCCTGTTAACATGTGTCGACTTACTCCAAGTATTTCAAATTTCATATCAGTTATTATATAATCACTCAACTTGTAACCCGTATCACTTTGTTTAACTATTCAGTAAGTTTCCATCTTCATTTCTATAACTGTTAGCCTGTAAAGAAATTTTCAGTCTCTAATCAATTCACCATCATTATGAGGTGTTCTAAATATTTTCAGGTAAATATGACCATTTCTGCATCATTTGAGAACTTTCAGATCTTTTCAAAGAGTAAGTGTTTAACATTATAACAAATGGACACACAACAATCAACCAATTGATTTCTGTATTCACTTACATATTCAGCAACATCATCCATCATTCTGAGTAGACTATCGCCACATCTTTGAAAAACTGAAGTATACTATACATCGTCTCCTTCAGACAAAACATGAACAGCAAAGATGTTTCTCTGAAATTCCTTTCTTCCTTAATAATCAAATTGAGATTGACTCCACATACTAATTGGCCCTGTTGGGACAGTGACAATCAAAATCTCTATACGCGCGAAAAAGATTCGATGGGCTTCCGCCAACTTCCACCATTCTTCACACCAACATTATATCCCATTGTCTATTGAGGGCTGAGTGTACAACTCTGAACTTCGCTCTCTTCTCCTACACACCTGTGAAACATAACCATTCAATGTAGATGACATAAAACGTCTTCATGTATTCGACAACTGCCACCTGTCTAGCATGCATCATGTGTCGTAGGGTCACCATGTGAATAACGTACAAGTAAGGTTAAAAACAGTTTGACATAGAGGTGGCGAACCTACATCGACTGAGATGGCTGGGATAAGTGTTAGGTATGTCTAGTCACCGTCAGCCACTTCTCACAATGATAGGTGAAGACTGGAAAAAGATTAGAGGTGACCGGGTTACAAAGTGGCATCAGTTCACGAAGTATTTGAATGCTGGTCTCAGTCGAATAGTGAAGTATATACTTCCACGTTGAGGTCCACGTGAAGACAGAAACCGAGAGTTAAACACTCTAGGTGATTATCCCTCAAAGTCGATACATTTCAATAGTGCAAATGTGTTCACACATCATCTTCATCTTAATCGTCATACAAGTTCCCATTACTATCAAATTCCTATTCGTTCACTTCTCACAACCTTCTGCTTTACTTCTTTATTTATCATACTGACGCCAACTTGAACCGTTATGAAGTAATACAAAGTTCCATTTTGCTGACAATATGTTCCCTGAACTGTGTGGTCTAGTCGATCGTGAAGCCTTCATTGTCATTCTAGACAACATCATCAGCACAGAATTCAGAAAGAAGTGAGCTGTGCGATTTTCTCCACATATGGCTTAGTACTTTGTCCTGATGGTCTTGTGCACGATTGGATGTTTCTGCCAAAGTTTTCATATGTCCAATGATGAATTGAATTTCGCCGACAACCAGAAGAATTCACTTAGCATGTTCATCAACACAA